AATTCGTTTTTATTTTGTATGTAATTTATATATTATTTTCATTAAGGGTATAAAGGATATTAACCACTCTAACTTTTAATGTGGGAGCTCTGTTGCGAAAAATCACTTTGCAAATAATAGTATAGATAGATATTATTTCTTTTATCATTCTAACGATTATAGTTATTTATTGTTTCGGATTTACATTATTTTAGGATTATGTTCTACAAATATAGCACTTATTGGGTAAAGATAAACGTGTAGCACATGAAGTAACCGGTTATGGGATGTTTTAACCTTGAACGATATATAACAATTTTGATTCATTTATGATTTTGTATTAGAATTGTTCATGTTTATTCTTTTAAATTAAAATTTAGAAACATTTGAAACTTACATTTAGAAAAAAAAAGAGATATGAAGATTGTGAAAGAAGAAAAGAAACATGAATTGAGAAGAGAAAAATACTTTTTAATAGATTTTATTTTGGATCTAAACTCAATATATCTATATATATACTAATTATATATTGCTTATAAAATCTTAAATAAATTATAATATGCTATCATAATCTAAGCCTAGCCCCTAGATATACCTTATCTATTTAGAGTAATTTAGTTTAACAAAGAGATTTATCTAATCTAAGTAATTTTATACCTACTTTTTCTACTATTTAATGTAACTTTCCATCTTTGCAAATATGATACTTATTTGTGTATATTGAGCTAATTAACTCTTAATTTATAGAGAAAGGTTGTGAACTTCAAAAAAAAAAAGCTGTAAACTTTTTTAAAAAATACAAATCAAGATTGATGTAAATTTAAGACCATAGGTGTAATTATGGCTGTGGAGAGCAAAAAGAAAATTACAATAATTCGTGTTTACCAGGTTTTTTTTTTTGGATAATTCTCCAATTAAGATTTTGATGTATTCGACTGCATAATATAATTTGAGGTCAAAAATATATAAGTACAGTGAAAAGGCAAATTATCTCTAAATGTATAAATGTATAAAGATGTTTTTTTAGTTGTATAGAGATGTTTTAGTTTTTTTTTTTTTTTTTTATATCAAAATGCTGATCTATTACTCAAGTTTGAGGTGGTCTAGGTAGCCAGACCGGAATAGAACAAATAATATACAAAAGTTCTCGATAGAAAGATCGAGCAATTTTAGCTAAAGAATCAGAAAAACCATTATGTGTCCTAGGAACATAGAAGATCTTGAAATCTAGGAAGCAAATCCGAAGTGTCATGAGCTTTTCCAATTCCTTTGAGAAGCTTAGAAACTTGGCCAGTCATGAGGATTTCTGAGCATCGGTACCATCTCCTTGCAGTCCGTCCGAAAACTCTGATATGGCGAATGTTGAGTGCAAAGCTCAGAGTGCAAAGCAGACTCCACACTATTAAAATTACGCATACCCATTAACTAACTATTTCCCATACTGTCATTCCATACCCAAACACATCCACTAAACTGAGCTTTAGAGGTCCAAAAACCGTCTACCATACAAATATTTCTCAGAATTATGGCTTAGCTTCCAACATCTATGTTTCCTTGAGATGGCGATATAATATGTTCATTGACTTGGAACTAGGCTTGACACTCACTCTCTACATAACGGGCTAGCTCCAATGGATCTCTATCAATTCCTTTGAACATCATATCGTTCTGAGCCTTCCAAATATACCATATTAGCCATGGATATGGATCCCTATCCAAGTTCGGTTCCATTATGGCATTTTTCCTCCAGAAGAGATAGTCCATATTCGCATATGTGCTCTGTAATGGAAACAAGTTAGGGATGGTAGGCGTAGATGATAAGGCCCAAACTTGCATTGCAGGTGGACACTGAAAGATTGCATGTGTAACTGATTCTTCTGGTTCCCTACATCGTGAACAGTGATTATCACATCTCATATGTCTATAGTTCAAAGTACTTGTAACAGCCACATGACATGTTATTAATTGCCACATAAGATGGAACATCTTTTGGGGTGCCTTGACCTTCCAAGCATGTGCTTAAAGTTTTGTGATACTAGGTTCACAAACTACATCTTCCTCCTCCTTCATCAATATATTCTGTGCAACTCAATAACCAAATTTGACTGTGTACTGTCCATTTCTTGTATAGCTCCAACAATACGTGTCCCTGCGATGTGTTGAACTAATTGCCATACTCCTTATGAGTGGTATATCAGCATCAGCTACATAGCTCTCCATCCGGCCCACATCCCAAGACTTTTTTTCTTGATTAATAAGGTCGCTCACTCTCATGTTCGGATGTAGAACCGGTGCAGATGGGGATGATGGTCTCGTTGGAATGGTAGGAATCCATGGATCCTCCCATACATTCACCTCATATCCCAAAAGTATTTTCTGTCTAACTCCTAGCAATAGTAAGTCTCGTGCCACCGATATACTTGTCCATACATACGATGGACTACTGACAGTAAGCTGACGCAAAGGCGAGCTCAATCATAATACCGGCATCTCAAGACTCGAGCTACCAGAGAATCTGGATATTTGACCAATCTCCATAACTGCTTCGCTAACAATGCCAGGTTAAATTCATGAATCATTTTGAACCCAATCTCTCCTTCCTCTTTAGCTAAGCATAATTTTATCCCATTTTGACCAGTGTATACCTCTTTTAGGGGGTTCGAACTCCACCAGAACTGTGCAATAACACTAGCTAAAGCATCACAGATTTCCAACGGAAGTAGGAAGCAGGACATTACATAAGTTGGGAGTGCTAGCAGGATCGACTTGATCATAACTTCCTTGCCACCTTTTAATAACCATCTGACCGTCTATCCATTTATTCTATTCCTTAGTTTATCTTTTAAAAAGACAAAAAACTTGCATTTGGATCCACTAATATCCTTTAGGATTCTTCTAAAATGTTTTAGTTAAGGTAATGTATTATATGTATTTCATAATAATTGCAAAATGTTAATGACTTAATGTAAGTTTTTAGCTGATGACGATGCGGTAATAGTCCGAGCAATTTCCACGATCAAATCTAAAACGGACGATACATGTACATTATGTACTAAAATATCCAATAGAACGTACTTTTTTTTGTTTCAAAAAAAGAAGAACGTACTATTTTTCCCTTAGTAAAAAGTAATAAAATATATATACACCAAAAGAATACCATGTTTCTGTCGTGTCTTGTTGTTTTATTTGATCTGGCTCCGAAAGGATTATAATACTTGCCGACTTAGAGTTCTGAAAGGAATGTATTCTTTGTTGGTTTACATAAAATTACCCATTATCAATATAGCCTAATAGATAACAAAAAAATGTATTATTTTTCTTAGCAAAAAATAATAATATATATACACTAATAGAATGCCATTTACTAACCTTGACTCACCGAAGACGTCAGTTCAGTGTAAACACGAGCCAGTTTTATATATTAGAAGCCAACTTTTAAAAACAGTCAAAAGTTTACCAAAGGAATCAAAAGTTTTGTGGGGTTGCTATCTTTCGTCTCGTGTGATCTGTTTTCTGTCGGTTTTTCAGGTTGAGGATATCATATATATAAGGGAAATTGGAAGCCATATATAAATGTAGGGCAAAGGTCCTCGTGTAGATAACGAAACATTCAAAAACCTCCGCTACCAATAGTTTAATGGTTTATTATTATAGCACTAATTATGAGACGTAACCTGAGTAAACTAACCACCAAAGTCATAAACCTCCCCTACCAAACGTAAATATATACTAGATTTTGATCCGCGCTAAAAAACGCGGAAATTTTTTATGATTAAAAATTTATATAATTGAGTTTTTTCTTAATATAAAGAATATTTTGATATAAAATCAGTTCACCAAAATTTGTGGTGATGATTGTTTTTCATTAGTTTTTAGTTTCGCTTTTTATTTTTAGATTTTGGTTTTTAGTTTTTAAGTTTCTACTTTTCATTTTCAGTTTTTGGTTTGGGTTTTTAATTTTAAACCCGCTGAGTTAGTTTGAACATATATTACCAACAAAGAAATCTCAAATAATCAAACATCTAATTTAAAACTGAAAAGATGAAAACATATTTAAAAAAAAAATTGAAATAGTTTATTTTGTAAATAAACAAAGCAAAAAAATATAATATGTGTTTTCAGCTTTTGGTTTTGGATTTTAGTTTTTAGATTTGGTTTTTGGTTTTGCTTTACATTTTTTTAATCAGTAAATTATTTAAGAAAAATAAAACAATAAATTATTTAAAAGTTACAATTGAAATTTATCAAAAAAAAGTGATTGTTATTTAAAATAAAAATATATATTAACATGTTTTAAAGTACATGATTTAAATAAATGATTAATAATAGATAATCTTGTTTTGTTAAAAATATTAAATAGCTTTTGGGTCTGAAAATAATAATTGATTTTTGATTTTTTAAGGTGAAAAGTTTATTCAATGTTTTTGGGAGTTTTTTCTTAATACTAAGCCCAAAAACCAAACTATATAATTTGTTCAAAAAATAAAAGTAAGCCCAAGATTATATTCCATAAATAACCACTGGTTTAATTTAAGTATAATTAGTAGATTTTCATATTCCATATTTTGATGATATATATTCTTTTAGAACATTCCATATTTGTAGGAAAAAATATGTGTTTTCGGTATACACATAGATATCTGTCGTATTTTGAAGGTAGTTTACATTAAGATCGTCTTTTTATATTAATTGTGTTGGTTTAATTTAAGTAATACGGTTCAATCAATTATATAACTTATATTATTTGTAACATTCTAGAAAGGGTCTAAATTTAAATGACAACTTGTATCAGTAGATAAAAAGAATGACTCTATTTTAATAGAATAGATATAGGCAGGTAGATTCGAGGCAATTTGAAACTACTAACCTCAAAATCTCCCTTCTACCCTTTCCGTCTTCATCCACGTCTTGTAAAAACTATAAATAATGTAACATTCAAAAAAAACATAGCTACAACTTTAGAAACATACCTCTTCTTGCTCTCCAAGTCCAGACTCCTCCACAACTCTATCTAAACGAAAATGTTTCACGGCGCAGACAAGGCAGTTGAGGCGCTGCTTCGAGGCCAAGAAAGCACTAATCGCTTGAAGAGGGTGTTCGAACACCAGAGGACAAGATCAGTTTCAGTCGAGCCTCTCTTTGATACCCTCCTTGATTCCTTCTCCTTTGCTCTCTCTCTTTTTACATCCCCTAACACTCAGCCATACCGTGAGTCTTCTCAGAGCAAGGCAACCACCCCCGTGACGGCTCGAAAATCTCCCAAGAAGTAACTGACTAAAAAAAAATCAATACTTGTTTATGATTAATGGACATTGTGATTTGATCGTTTTGAATATTCCATGTATCAGAAACGGCAATGGAGAAGAAGGTTTAGAGAAATACAACCATGATTCACCAACTCCGGTTCACCACGACGGTTTTACTTGGAGGAAGTACGGACAAAAGAACATCAAGACCTCTTCCCACCAAAGGTTTTAGAAAAAAAAAATCAAAACAGAGTATTCCTCTGTATTATTGAGTACTGTTGGTGGTGACTAAATAATGAGTTTCGGTCTTTCACATGTGTTACTATCGCTGCGCCTATTCCAAAGACCGAAACTGCAACGCTACGAAGCGGGTGCAACAGATCCAAGACAGCCCTCCTGTGTACAGAACAACTCATATCGGAAAACACCTCTGTGAAGTTACTTCTCTTACGGAGCCTAATGAAGATATTAGCAACGGTTCCAATATGATTCGGTTCGACAAAACCGACCAAGCCATGCCTGAATTGGTCATGCCTCAGCTCGCTTCAGTAGAACAACAAGCAACTACCATCGAAGAAGACACGGACCAAACCATGAACCTAGAATTTGACATTAACGAGTTTTTGGTGGATGATGACCAGCTATGGGCGTATCAGTTTCCTCCGTTTTCTCCTGGAAATCTTATGCTGTTGGACGATCTTTCTGAGTTTGATTACAATTCTTTCCAGCTTTGATTGAACAAGCACCTTCAAAGCTGGAAAGAATTGTAATCAAACTCAGAAAGATCGTCCAACAGCATAAGGAGACGAGACTGAGACACCAACATGTTTCAGGTTCGATCCACCGGCTGCGCGAAACTAAGTCACAATTATCCTGGTCACCTAACACGGATATGGGCCTATGCTTTAGGGCCCATTTGAATACCCGGAGAGAGGGTCTATCCGTGGGCTGCACCTCCCCTTGGTGATTAGTCTGGGCTTCTCCATGGGCCTAGGATACCCCCAGGTTAATCAAAAAAAAAAAAAAAAAACAAGCATCTTTTTCAAGCTTCTTGTTATGTTCACATAGAGGGCAGTCTATGTGGTATTATGTATGATATTTGCTGGGAAAAGTGCATATTTCAATCTGAACTTTACCCGTCGTGCCTATTCCTTCCCAAACTTTATAGTAGTGCGTATTCCTTACTGAACTAATCAAAAATATAAAAATACTACATGAATTTTATGTGTTGTGCCTTTTCATTCCTGAACTTTATAGTAGTGCATATTCCATAGTGAACTTAACAAAAATTCAAAAATACTACATGAACTCTCAAAATTTTGCTTATATATAAACTGACCATAAAAAATATTATTCATCCGTTAATTATCAAAACGACGTCATTTTCGGTAAATTCTGTAAAATTAAAAATTTAAAAATATTACATAAACTCTCAAAATTGTGCTTATATATATTTATATCGACCATCAAAGATGTTAGTCATCCGTTAATTATCAAAATGACGTCAAAATTTTGTAAAATTAAAAATTATTTGTTGCGAGGTTCGAACTTTCACACTGGTGGACAAGTAGGAGAAAAAATAAAGTAAAATTAATGTTCACTTGTGTAAACATTAATTTATATATAAGTTTTAAATTATACTATATTTTTCCTAAGAGCTAATAAGGAAAGCGTTTAATCCCTAAAGCCGATTATCAAGCAGTATGGGGAGGCCTCTGGACAATCCATAAATACTGTTAAGTCCTCCATTACCTTTTCTAGACGAGCTCCAGCCGAACTGAAGGAAAAAATTAAGGATGACCTGGACATTCAAAAAGAGGGAGGAGTTGGGAAATACCTCGGTCTACCGGAGCATTTTGGGAGAAAAAAGAGGTATCTCTTTACTTCCATAGTTGATAAAATTCGACAAAAAAGTAGCAGCTGGTCTAACAGATTTTTATCCACTGCGGGAAAAATGACGATGTTGCAGAGTGTGCTATCTCCTATCCCGTCCTTTGCAATGACGTGCTTCAAACTTCATGTTTCCTTATGTAAGAGAATACAATCCGAGGTCACGAGATTCTGGTGGGATGACCGTCCAGGAAAGAGGAAGATTTCATGGACGTTAGGGGATAATATGACGAAACCGAAGGAAATTGGAGGATTAGACTTCAGAGATTTCCAAGCTTTTAATGATGACTTTTTAGGTAAATTAAGCTGGAGAATTATGAATAACCCAGACATCTTACTCTCGAGAGTATTGTTGGGAAAGTATTGTGGGGATGAAAGTTTCATGGAGTGTGAAAAAAGGCTTCTTCTTCTTATGGATGGAAAGGAGTACTAATAGGAAGAGACCTTCTAAATGAAAAACTTGGCTTGGTGGTGGGTAATGGACAGAGCATCAAAGTTTGGTACACACCTTGGCTGAGCCTTTCGAAGCAAGAAGGACCAATCGGTCCACCCCTGGAAGAAACAATGAACATGACGGTCTCCGACCTCTTCCAACAAGGTACAAATGAGTGAGATGATGAGAAAATCCAGAACTTGCTTCCACACCTGAAAGATAAGATTAGAGTCATTAAACCAAGCTTATCAGGGACTCCAGATAAAAGAGTTTGGTTAGGAACAAAAACCGGGGAATACACAACAAAATCAGGGTATAAAGTGGCTCTAAAAAACATAACGGAGGAGAACGCCAATGATATAGATCACAGGGAGCTCGACTGCTTCAAGAGCGTGTGGAAGCTTCATACCTCGTCAAAGATTAAACTTTTCCTCTGGAGAGTGTTCCAAAAAGCTCTACCTGTTGGAGAGCTTCTGGCGGTCAGAAACATCAATGTTGATACCCTATGCAAGCGATGTGGTACATCAGAATCTATGAATCATCTCTTCCTCCATTGCCCTTATGCTCGAAAGGTTTGTGAATTAACTCCTGTGACACCAAGAGTGGAGCTGAGCGGATCAATAGATTTACTAGATGTATTGGCGAGCCTCTGGGGTCGAACCAGTCTTCCACCTACAGGGTTAGCAATGGGACACTTAGCGCCATGGATTATATGGCAACTCTGGATTTCCAGAAATAGTCTCTGCTTTAATAACAAGCATGTTTCAGAAGAGGAAACTATTGTTAAAGCGCTTAAGATGGCAAAAGAATGGACTGATGCTCAAGAGAAATTCCCAAAGCTGCAACGAAGGATAGCAAACCGAGCTCCTACCCCTTTGGATTGTGTTCTGGTACGTTCTGATGCGGCATGGAGGGATACAACACAGATGGCGGGTCTGGGTTGGTGGATAAAAAGCAAACGGTGATAGCAGCGAAGTCCCGACAGGGCTGCTAATCTATTAGCAAAACAGGGTCTTGTAGAGGGTGAAGTCTTAATGGCTGGCACCTAACTCTTTCTATGGTATTAATATAAGTTTGTGTTAAAAAAAAAAGATTTTGTTTTCCTTTTAACCGGTCTGAGAGTGTTGAAATGGTCCCATGCTTCCTAAAATATTGAAAGAAAGGAGTTAAATAGAGAAGATCTTGTAACATTTTTTAAAATCGTCATAAACTTTGGCTGTGAGAGAGAACATGTAATAACTCGAAAACTTCCTCAGCCGTGTATTTCTGGTTGTAAGAAGCACCTTTTGTTGTAGCTTATCCGGATGAGGATTAGTAATGCCCTCTGGTACGATCTTCGAACTGCGTTTACTTCTATCATATCCATGAGTGGAACCGCCTTCCATCCACTCCCGGGCCAAAGATTTGTCAAATACAGCTTCCACCATAACGTTACTTCTGCAAAAAGGCTAATACGTAAAATCTAATATTGAGAAGAAGAAGGAATATGGATTCGGGAAGAAGAGTCAACCACATGAAGTCATCCACGAAATTCACCCAATGAAATCCATCCACGTGAATTCATTCACTGAGTCCACCCACTGAAAGTCATCCACAGCAATGTATTCACACGACCGTTGGAGGCAAGAGAAACAATTTGAATTTGAAATAAGAGAACTGTTGGGGACTTATCACATCAGACTCATTTGCTTATATTATTTTTATGTATAATCCTTCTACATATACTTTGTTGTAAGACCACAAATGAATCTGAGAGCATCTTTAACCAGGTTGCTTAAGCCGTCTCTTATTATTATTAAGATTAAATAAAAAAGAAAAATAGCAAATACCTTAAGCAACGTTGCTTAATCAAGTAACGGAAGAGACAGACTGTTGTTCCTCTCTCTCTCTCTCTCTATATATATATATATATATATATATCTCTCTCTCTCTCTCTCTCTCTTTTTAAGAAGGAAGAAGAAGGCATGGAAGGAGTAGGACCGATGACTCATGATGGAGAGCCCGTGGTGATCCGTAAGAAAAATCCCAACGCTGCCACCACGCGCGATGAGAAGACCGTCAACTCTGCTCGTAGAAGCGGCGCCGAAATCAAATCCGTCAGAAAATGTTGGTTTCCTTACTCTTCTTCACGATCGATCATTGTGTTTCCTTTAGATCTGGTTTAGGTTTAGATTTGGTGATGGGTAGGGTTGTGGTCACTGGTCTTCCTTATAGAATGGTTGTTCATCCTATAGGAGGTGGTCTTATTTGTGCATTGCCACAGAGTTTCAAGTATGTAATCTTGTAAAGCTCATTAGGTTTTGTAATTAAGAATATGAGTTTGAGGTTTTCTGGGTTGGAGTAGAGAAGAAACTTGAATGGATGTGATGGTCACTTGTTGATACGCAGACGGCTTGATTGGGAAAACATTATGAGGCCAAGAAAGGGTGAAGAGTTAGAGGAAGTGATTAACGAGTTAGAAGATGTTGGATTCTCGATCTCGTTGACTTTTGTTGTTAGATTCTATCGATGCTTGAAGCATTGTGTGATTTTAGTGGTGTTTTGTTCTGTGGTGATCATCAAAATTGGTTTGATCTTAGATCAAAACCTATCTTGAAGAATGCTTCTTGTTTGCTCTTCTTATTATAGCTCTAAGTGTGGTTTTGAATGTTGCTAACAGAGGATTTCTATGGTGTTGACAAGTACTAGATGCACTAGCTTTGCAAGATGATTTTTATTTGAATCTAGTGGACTGGTCTGCACAGAATGTTCTTGCGGTGGGGTTAGGGAACTGTGTGTATTTGTGGAACGCTTATAGCAGCAAGGTAACTATTTTGTGTGATTTTGGAGCTGATGATAGCGATTGTTGTTGTTGGAACTAGTACCGGGAAAGTACATGTTAGATCTTACTTACTTATTGTTGTTGTTGTCCATTGGTCTAACTCTTTAAGCATGATTATCTGTGGTCTACGCGTGGGCTCCATCACCTTTTTGCAAAAACCATGCCTTAAGATCATGATTATCGATGGTGGGAAGAAGGTTCTTACGCGTGGATCCCACCACCTTTTTGCATAAACCATGCCTTAATGTCGTCAAATAAAAAAGTTTCTCAGGTCTTTTTGCACTGTTTGCGACCCCACTGACACGTGGTGGACCGCGATTGGTTTATTTTTAATTTTTTTTTAAATCAGAAAACAAAAAAAAAAAATTTTAAGAACCCCAAAAATATTTTTATTAATAATGATGCTCTAGTGTCGCTAAATAAAAAACGTTTCCCAGGAGTTTTTTGTACTGTTTACAGACCCCACTGACACGTAACGACTTACAATTGGTTCCTTTTTAATTTTATTTTTTAAATCAGAAAAAAAAATTAAGAACCCAAAAACGTTTTTACCCATAATGATGCTCTTAAGGCATGTGTGTACAACACACTCTCTATTTAAAGTCCAGTCACGTTTTAACTGTAAATTGTAAAATTAGTCCATGCCATATATGGAATCTTGATCAATAGTGGAACACTCGTCTTGCTGTCGGAACAAATACGTTGGGTTACTGATGTTTTAAACTGAAAGAAAAAATTTATACATAGTTAATGATGCTCCTGCGGTTTTGCATCATATCGTTCTCCTAACACTAAAATTATACACATGTCCATTTATTTTTCACTTTCACTAAAGCTGTTTCTACAGGTTACAACATTCTTTATGGTATGTGAGAAACATTCACAAGCTTCTCTGTAATTACTCTTAATTATACTTGATTAAAAGCAGCTTTTCACCTAACTCATGTGGCTCCATCTATATCAACTGTGATTAGGCTAAAGTGGTGATCCTTGATGACATTTTCAAAATCTCTCTAATTACTAATAACTCCATACTACTAGCATCCAAGAAAAGACTGTAACAATTTAGGGTTAGTCCTCTCCTTCCGTTAACGATCTTGGGTTTTTAACCGGCGAGGACTCAATTTAACTTGAGTGAAAACATACAACTCTATCGGATAAATCTGGCTAAACCGGAAATCTATAAAAAAAAAAAAAAAACAGAATCTAAAGTCACATGGCATTACCGTGTTCAGTAATGATGAGAGAGTGAACGGTAAAAAAATCTGAAGTAAATCTTTCCTTTTTCTCACAATCCTCAACCGCTATATAATTACTGAAGTAAATCTTTCCTTTTTTCACTGCGCATCAAAGAAAAATCTATAAATATATGATCACACACCAATTCACAAAGTTTCTCACAACAAATTCATTTGTTTTCTTCTTCTTTCTTCTTCGTGTGCGAGAGAAAAGCAGAGAGCCTGTTTCAAGAATCAACAAGAAAAGCCACCATGCGCCCACCTCTTTGTTCTTCTTCTTCTTCTTCTTCTAGTTATTCACTTGCTGAAACGAGTTTGAAAAGCAGACTCTTGACGATATTCAAGAAAGCTCAGGAACTTACAACTCTATGTGACATCGAAGCCTGCGTCATTCATTACGGACCAGACGGCGAACTCAAGACATGGCCCGAGGACAGAGACAAAGTGAGATCCCTCGCTCTCCGCTACATCCAATTAGACAAAGCCAAGAGACTCAAGAAAAGCATCGATCTTTATGGGTTCCTCAACAAGAAGAAGAAGAAAGCCAAGAAGAATGTTGATGAGGAATTAAAGTATCCAATATCCGATCATTACTCGGCCTACCAAATCAATCAACTGATTCAGTCTTTGGAACTAAGTTACTCTACTTTGCAAGAAAGAAGTCGTTTCTTTGAAGCAAAAGCAAACTTGGAGGATCGTTCTTTGAACCCTAGCCACGTCACCAGTTACCCACAGGAGTCTTGTGTTTATGATCATAAAAACAACAACTTTCAACATCTTTGCCTTACAGATTACTCAGAGGTGCCTTTCAAATCTGGGTTACATTATCAGTTGATGCCTTATGATCAGAACATGATGTGTATGGGTAATAACTCTCAAGATCCTTGCGTCTCAAACCCACATGATTGCTCAGTGCTCCCAGCAGAGCTACAAGAATCTGTGAATAACTACGGGATGAATCAGTTGATGCAGCATGATCTTTATGGCTTTGATCAGAACATGTATATGGGTGATACTATCAACAGCTGCAACGTTCTGGATCCTCGTCTCTCAAAGATAGCTTCAGGTGACTTCTGTTTTGGTTTCCAGGACCCTTGTGGTGGTTACCCTAGCTTCTCTCAAGATTTTCCAGACGTGTCTTCAAGCTGTGTTTATGAGAACAGACTACTTCAGGGATCTACTCTACCATCTCTCTAGCTCCATCATTCCTAACAACTCTGAGATTCCTAGAAATTTACCAGACGAAGTAGCTGATCATAGAGAATGAAGCTGTTTATATGCACAAGCATGTTTTTATTTTGAATTCAAAACATTCTGTTGGAGTTAGTACACTATTCACTGCAAAAAATTATATATAAACATTGTGATAAGTTTTCTCGTTGATTGTCGCAGAATAATAACCTTTCTTTTGTCTCAACATTATTAATATCAAAACATTTGCTTTTGATTTATGTTTTACTTCTCTCTCACTAGTCTATATAACAACAAAAGTAAAACACCAAACTTAGAAGTTTATAACAAATACTACTCATGTAATGTAGCCGTCAAGACAATGACGGAGAACAACGGTCAGGCTGTTGCCAGACAGTGATGTAAAGAAAGACCAGTGCTTTCAAGTAAGTACATGTGTTTGGTGTTGCCTTCACAGGAAGTGATTTCAGGAGGTATCCGTTCTGTAACCGAGGGAAGAACATGCTCTAGACCTAAGACGGTTTTAACAGACAGTAGAAGGAAATCATCAGTGTCGAGATTACACATGGACTTTAACTGAGCTGTGACACGGTCAGGATCAGCTATTGGTTGAAAGTCGAAAGCCAAGTCTTTTGGAAGATTTGTTTTAACAAAACCGATTAAAACGCTGCGTTACAAGTACCGAATCCCCCAAGCAAAATTTTTTTTATTCTTTGAGCTAACACAGTACGTTTTGTTTTAAAGTTTGGTAACGTGCGGCACTGATTGGTGGCAAAGTCGTTTTATTGGAGAGAGAGGCCATTACTGACCGTTGATATTTTCCCGATCACACCTTGACCGTCCAAATGCAATCAAAAGAAAAAAGGAAATTCGAAAGAGAAAAAGGGAAACTAATCATTAACCTAACCGTTTGAATCAATCTCTATATAAAGATGATACAGCTCTGAGCTAATCTCATTCGATCACTCGTGATAATTTTTTTTTCTACTCTCTCGATTTTTGTTTGATTTCTCTAAGAGGTTTAGGTTTGAATCTGAGAGCTTTTATTTTTGGCTTCTTCTCCCATTGCTAAGAAATCAAATCTAAGGTTTCTATCAAGGAAGGAACATGAGTCGCAAACTCTCAACGGGATCTTCTTCTTCCTTCTACGTCCAGCTATATCAGATTGTGGATGATCGTTTTTCAAATCAGATCATCTCTTGGAGCAAAACAAACAACAACAGTTTCATCGTTTGGGACATGAAAAGGATTCGCACAAACATCCTTCTGAAATCATCCTCTGGAGTATTACTGGGCAGAAACTTAACAGAGTTTGTATCAAAACTTCGTTCTAATGGCTTCAAAACTGTCGTAAAAGGTCCCGGGGAGTTGGAGTTCTCACATGATGATTTCGCGAGAGGACCTTTGATGATGAAGAAGATGATGGTCAAAGCCTTGTCGGAGAGGATTGAGAGGTTCGATGCTCAAATTAAAACCATGAAGTGTAGAATCAAAGCCAAGAAAGCTAGCCTCGGAGTTGAGAATCTTTTCCAGAACTTACGGATCTGAAGATCACCAAGAAAATCATTAATGAGCTAAATCAAGAAAAGCCCTAGCTAGAGTTCGTCAAAAGATAGATAATAATCTCATGCAAAAATTCATCTCTTCTGCTTGTTATGGAATTTTGTGATTCTTATTTTAGAAACAGTATATGTTTTTGTAATCAATTTGTTCTTTCTAGTTTTGATGTAATAATTGCAAGTTCGGTTGATATATTAACCAATTTATGATTGATTCTGTTTTACGTATAGTTCTCTCTCTCACTACTGTACCAAGCTTAGCAATTTATAACAAAGATAACTCGGTGTTCTGTGTTTTGTTTTCAAAAGAGTTACATCCCGGTAAAGACCAGTGCTTGCAAGTATGTACATCATATCTTTGTTATTGTATTTTCCAAAGGAGAATACAGCTTCACTCTCACGTATTCGGACGCATACTTGTCATGAATACTCCAAGTCATAGTCCAAATACATACATCACTAAAGATTTTAAGTCAAAAAATATATGTCTCCAACACTTTCTACTAACCATACCCGAATCTGAGTGGAAAGCTTACAAGGATGGAGGAGGGGCAGTTATGCACTCGCAAGAGGAAGCAAAGACAGGTTATAATTTAGTTAGATGAAAAATGTATGTGAGACGAGATGAGTGTCGTTTGTTAAGCATCTTTGTATTCGTTTGATTCGTTCAATATAAGTAAGAGAGAAGATCCGAGTTTACAGAGAGTGGCGATCATAACACCGTCACCCCCAGCTCCCTTTTATTCCTCTTTCTCATGGAAGCATCGTAAAGGCAAAGCAATTCAAGCATGCGAACTTATGGAAGCATCAAATGATAATCATTCAAGAGGAGAGGCTGCAGACATAAGGGAACCTAAGCTCTTTGGCTTAGAGGTGTGGTAAAGCATGCCCTGTTTCTATTTCATAATCAGTGAAATCCTTTTTTAGTAACACTAGAACTCAACTGAGAGATTGCGAAAAATCTATCAAAAACAAATCAAACAAAATCTAAAAGCACATGGCATTACCGTGTACGTAATGTGGAGAAAGTGAGGGTAGAAAAGATCTGAAGTAAATCTTTATTTTTTCTCACAATCCTCAACGGCTACATGATTTCTAAAGTAAATCTTTCCTTTTTTCACCGCACATCAAAGAAAAATCTATAAATATATGATCGATCACACACAATTCACAAAATTTCTCACGACAATTTCATTTGTTTTCTTCTTCTTTCTTCTTCGTGTGCAAGAGAAAAACAGAGAGCGTGTTTCAGAAAAGCCACCATGCGACCACCTCTTTCTTCCTCTTCTTCTAGTTATTCACTTGCTGAAACGAGTTTCAAAAGCAGACTCTTGACGATATTCAAGAAATCTCAGGAACTTACAACTCTCTGTGATATCGAAGTCTGTGTTATTCATTACGGACCTGACGGCGAACTCAAGAAATGGTCCGAGGACAGAGACAAAGTGAGATCTCTCGCTCTCCGCTACATCCAATTAGACAAAGCCAAGAGACTCAAGAAAAGCGTCAACCTTTACGACTTCCTCATAAGAAGAAGAAGACAAGTACCAGTTTGAAGAAGAAAGCCAAGAAGAATGTTGATCAAGAATTAAAGTTACCAATATCCGATCATTACTCGGCCGACCAAATCAATCAACTGATTCAGTCTTTGGAACTAATTACTCTACTTTGCAAGAAAGAAGTCGTTTCCTTGAAGCAAAAGCAAGCATGGAGGATCGTTAACAATCTTTGAAACCTAGCCACGTCACCAAGTACCCACAAGAGTCTTGTGTTTGTGATCAGAAAACAACAACTTTCAACATCTTTGCCTTTCAGATTACTCAGAGGTACAAGAATCTGGGTTACATTATCAGTTGATGCCTTATGGTGGTTATGATCAGAACATGATGTGTATGGGTAACAACTTTCATGCTCCCTACGTCTCCTCAAACACACCAGATCACTCAGTGTTCCCACCAGAGCTACATGAAGCAGTGAGTAACCACGGGTTGAATCAGCTGATGCAGCTAGCATGAGCTTTATGGCTTTGATCATAACATGTGTATGGGTGGTAGTACTATGAACAGCTGCAACGTTCTGGATCCTTGTCTCTCAAACATAGCTTCAGGTGACTTCTGTTTTGGTTTTCAGGACCCTTATGGTGGTTACCCTAGCTTCTCTCAAGATTTTCCAGACATAGTCTTCGAGCAGACTACTTCAAGGATATACTCTATCATCTCTCTAGCTCCACCTGCATTCCTAACGACAAATCTGAGATTCCTAGTAATTTACCTGATGAGGTAGCTGATCATAGAGAGTGATGCTGTTTATGCATCTGCATGTTTTTATTTTTAGTACGCATAAATAAACCGATTTTTTTGTAAGTTCAGACCTTTTGTTTTTTCTTTTTGTTTAGTTGACCAAAAAGACCTTTTGTTTGGTTTAGTACACTATTCATACTAGGTGATTTTCCCGTGCTCATGCACGAGTAGGAATATTCATTAAAGTAAAATTTTATAATAATTAATTGATATTTAGTTTTAGTTTTGAATCAATTTATATGTATAATTTATATTAATAAATATTATATTATTCTAATTATACTTATGACTTTAGATATATTATTATTGGTTTAATTATTTTTGGATCAATAGTCGCTTGGTTATCAATTTGATATAATGGATAATATCTATTTTTTTAATTCAACTATAATAAATTTTATTCTAAATATAATAAAACTTTGATTAATTTTCTTATTTTTATTCCGGTTTTTATTGTCTTTAGATATGTAAATATATTCTTAGATATGTAAATATAATATAGTAAAATTATGTATAATTTAAGATATATTGTGCTTAAAATAAAATAAATGATAAGCTGAAGTGTTTGATTCAAAATTACATAAATGAATATAATGATAATATTTTGCAGTCTCATGCATATGTATAAATTATAAAAAGAATTAAATTGTGATTGGTTAATATTTTCTTTTTCTTTTTAATATGCTTTGAGTCAACCTCTAATTTATATGTATAAAATTAAATATATTATTATTATTATCATAATAAAATTATATGTTCTTATTGTAGATAGATGTTTAATTTTGGATATAAATTAGATTAGTCGAGTCATTCATTTTGTGAGTATATTGAGTTAAATATATTTTTAAATTTTAATTGAAGTATAATTACTTTTTTATTTTAGTTAAGTCAAATCAAATTAGTTTTATTTATTTCTTAAATATACATTTATTTTCATAATATTTATTTAATCTTTATTTTAGTTAAGTCAAATGAACTTAGTTTTATTTATCGTTTAAATATACATGTATTTTTATAATATTTATCAAATTATATGTTAATTTCTAAAAAATATTAGAAAATAAAATGTAACTGATAAATTTTGGATGTACATGAAAATATATATTTTTATTATGTTGAAAATATATTTTATGTTATTAAAAAATATATATTAATGGGGTATTACTATTTTGTGAAATTTTAATAAAGTCATATTATCTACATATATTTTCGTTTTTAATTTTCTTAAAAAAAATTAGAAATATTTCCTTTCTATTATATATGTTCTTTGGAAAAAGGTAAAAAAAAAACTAAATAAAAAAAAATAATCTTAAAATCTAATAACTCATTAAGGGTATCTATGTAATCAACCATCACGAGAGTTAACGTGAGCGTGACACGTAGGAAATTGACTTCTCAAATAATATTATAGAGATATATCATGCCAGAACTTCTTCATACTATTTCTCCTGCAAACTCAGATAGTGCAAATATACACTTCACTCTACTTGCTATGTTGAAAGGACTTCTAAAACAACACTCTTTTCCAGCACATTATACTAACTTAAAAACATCATTAACTTTTCCAGTTTCACTAAAAACTGTAACTTTCTTCATCATAGTAGCATCATAAGGAAAAGAAAAGTGAAAATATATTTCGAGCATGGAAACTGATGGAAGAATCAAAAAGATATAAGTCAAAATGCACTTCCTATTGTCAAAACATAGCCATTTGATTTTAGGCTTCTTAAATACTCATATACTACAGTGTATGACAAGAGAGACCGACTATCTTTGTTCTTTCCGCTTGACCACTAATTTTAGCATCGACGTTCTACACATGTTCAGATTTCTTAAGAGGTTTTCTTTATTTTTCGAATGAAGTAATGTGAAAGGGTTTTTTGCAGATTTGACCTGAAACTTGAAGTCAATTACAAAACTAACCTCCCTATTTTTTGGAACTTAATTTTGTTCTATTCACCCCACAAGTTCATATAATTCACGAAAATGCCACCAACTTTTTTTTTTTACGAAAATGACATTTTTACTATCTCACCCTCATCATCTTCAAGTAATCACAAGATTGTCATTGTCATCAATACTCCAACCACCATGAACAACCAATTTGAAGCTCTTAATGCTTCCAAATTCCATTTACCCTTCTTCTTTCTCTATTATCATGAACTAAACAACACATCTCTCACTTTCTCTGCGCAATGAGCTAAAAATCCCAAGATTTTGATTATACATTTTTTAGGGTTCATATAGTGAAAGAAACTAACGATTCAGGGTGGGTTACCTTCGTTTAAGATTCCGAGTGCTTGGAGAAGCCGTATGTGTGCTAAGAAAGTGCTCTCACCAATTGAAGGTATGAAATCGAGTTTTTTTTTTTGCGATCTGTTCGTCCAGACGACTGAAATTTCAGTCGTCTGCTTTCGTCCAGTCAACGCAGAAGTTATTTTTGCAATTGACTTTGCAATTTGTTTCCAGAGACGACTGAAATTTCAGTCATCTACTTTATTTTGGCTACAAAAAAATATCTTAAGAATCTAGACGACTGAAATTTCAGTCGTCGTAGGTTAGTTTTGCATTTGACTAGAAAATTTCAGAATTTTAACTTTCTAGGACGACTGAAATTTCAGTCGTCTCCGAAAAAACTGAAATATCAATATTTTATTGGAACGCACGACTTACATTTCAGTAGTAATAGGTTAGTTTTGCAATTGTGAAAAAAACTTCAACTCTCAAGACGACTTACAATTCAGTCGTCCGCCAGACGACTTACAATTCAGTCGTCCAGGATTTTATTCCGAGATTCTGGTCAAACCTCGTAAATCCTAGACGACTGAATTGTAAGTCGTCCCAGGGACGACTGAAATTTCAGTCGTCTAGATTTTTTTAAATATTGAAGTTTGTTATCGCAATTGCAAAACTAACCTACGACGACTGAAATGTAAGTCGTCCAATTTCAATAAAATATTGATATTTCATTTTTTCTCAGACGACTGAAATGTAAGTCGTCCTAAAAAGTCAAACTTCTGAAATATTCTAATCAAATGCAAAACTAACCTTCGACGACTGAAATTTCAGTCGTCTGTGTTTTTTGGAATTTTTTTTTTATCAAACATACCCAGACGACTGATATTTCAGTCGTCCCAACTAACAGATTTCAAAGTCAATTGCAAAAATAACCTCTGCGTTGACCAGACGACTGAATGTTTAGTCGTCTGGACGACTTACATTTCAGTCGTCTGCTTCGATCTCTAATAAACTTTTGTTTTCTTTCTTCTATGTTTGCTAATGTATTTTATTTTTACTATCTCAGATGATGCATCAGTTACGTGCAGTGTATGGAGAATGGTTGTTAGAAGATGGTTGTTGGAATTTTGTGGTTGATCGTTTCAAAGGAGCAAGATTGTTTTTATTGAATGAAGATTCAACACATGCTGAACTTGTGGCAATGGCTCAAGAAGATTATAACCTGGACATGAGCACAGTCACTGTGGAGATTAGCTACTCATTACCAGCTCCAGACCTTCCTCCTATTCATGTTACAAGTGATAGACNGTTTCAAAGGAGCAAGATTGTTTTTATTGAATGAAGATTCAACACATGCTGAACTTGTGGCAATGGCTCAAGAAGATTATAACCTGGACATGAGCACAGTCACTGTGGAGATTAGCTACTCATTACCAGCTCCAGACCTTCCTCCTATTCATGTTACAAGTGATAGACAAGTTCGAAACTTGCTTGAGATAACCAAAACACAAGAAGTACGTCTTTGTGTATTAAGCTTTTGCAAGATGAGAACGGTTTCAGAGGAAATGGATGAAGCTGAGGATGCAGCTGATGTGGGGGATGAAGATCAGGAGGGGGATGAAGCTGATGTGGGGGATGAAGATCAGGAGGGGGATGTAGCTGAGGATCATGATGGGGAGGAGGATGCTGACATCCTTGTTGTTGCTGAAGACTTTTATGATCCTGAGGATTACAGTCAATTTGGAAAGGTTAAAGACGAGGATGAGGAAGAAGATGATGAAATTTGTTTTGAAGATTACGGAGAGGCATATGGCTGTGAGGGAAAAAGATCATCTGCAGAAAGAATCTATGTAAACCAGAGTTTTGCTAGCAAGGATGCACTGCTTTCAGAGTTGCGGTTGACAGCGGTAGGTTCTCCTTCAGATTTTACAAGTCAACAAAAACTCTCTTTGTGGCAACATGTCGGGTTAGTGGTTGCCAATGAAAGATCAGAGTAAGTGTGAAACATGGGACTAAGAAGTTTTGGGTAACCAAGTATTTGAAAACTCATACATGTTCCACCGGAGACAGAATCGCTGGGCGGAAACACTCACTCCAAAGTACATTGGTCGACTCTTCATAGATCGTGTTGGAATCATTGATGGGTTGAATCCGCAGCATATCAAAGATGCAATGAAGAACATGTTTGGCATGACACTTGATTACACCACTTCATACAGAGCATTGTTATATGCGCAAGAATTGGTGAGAGGATCCGCGGAAGATGAGTATGAGCGACTTCCTTCATATTTGGAGCAAATCAAGGCAACAAATCCGGGTTCTATCACTGCTATAGAACTTGATTCTCAGTAAAGATTTAAGTATTTTTTTCTCGCTTTTGGAGCTTCTATCAGAGGTTTTAAGTATCAGAGAAGAGTTATTGTGGTGGATGGGACTCACCTAGGTGGAAAGTATGAGGGTACTATGTTGGTTGCAGC